TTTGTGTGCAGAATATTAGTATATCATTCTGTTTGTGAGTATTTGAAGTATGAAAGGTTTTTATAAGTTCCAGAGGCCTTTACCAAATAAAATCGTCACCATAATCACTGTCATAAAAGGATTGTTATCGCTCTACCTTAGTGTACACTTTTCAATTCTCTCACACTGCACTAACTGCTCTGTCTACAAACTAACAGAGTTCTGGACTTCTCTCTTGTGCAGCATTTGTCAGACCAGATTAGACTACAAGAGCCAGTATTATAAGGGCTGATGTCCATTGAGGCTGAATGGAGATCAGCAACCTACTTTCACAAAGGCACTCCAACAAGTCTTGAAATGGCTTAGATGAGGTGAGAGAAAGAAAGAAAAGCAAGTACTTTCCTACTATACTAGCCATCCTGGTTCCTTTTTAGTCCTCTTCTCTTTATTTCACTGGCTGCAGAGGAGTGATGAACTGTTGATTAGCCTCTAGAATTGCAGGGCAAAAAGGTTTGATCTCTGGTTAGGAGGGAACGGAGAGTCTCAGAAGAAATTAGAGAAAGAGAGAGAAACCCTGAACAGACTGTATAGCTTGACAGCCAGGACTTCCTTGTGCCACACTTTACTAGTAGCAATCCCCCCACCCCACCCCTCAGCATTTTTATAAAAACCAAAACAAAAAAAATTAACCACTCAGCCTGGGCATTTGGCTGGTATATAAACAAACAAACATACATACAGGGAAGCGATAACATCCCATTTCGATATTCTGCTATGTTGTTGCCAGCCTGCATTATTCTTCATGCCTACTGCCCCATTGCTTTCCAGTGCTTAATTTGAGTCCATGATCCCTTGTTCTTAATCCTAGGACATTTGGAGTAATAACTGTGCCTTTAGAACCAGGTGCAAAGTATCTTTCTGTTGCCAAAGTGTAGCTGCAACTAACCCCCACAACTTGAATGTCGCAAGTGCTTTCAAGTTGAAGCACCAGCTAAGCCCCAGCGACTCAGATTTTAGAAATTAAGAGCTCTAATATAATCTTGCTACTCGCTCATACTTTTGGATTACATATTAGACCTTGCAACTGCTTTATTCTCCTTTTTCACTTTGATGCATCATATAGAACTATCCTTTCCTAATGCTAAGTAAGCTCTTCTGTGTTAGCCTTACCCTGGAGCTTCTGGGGCAAGCACCTCACCTACTGAAGAGATCAGAATGTCCCCTTAGGTGTACAAATTTAACATTGTGATAAGGCCCCGTGAATGCAAGCAAGATACTCTTCAGGATTTTCTGTGACAGAGCCAACAGCAGTTGAAAAATTAGGCATTTTTTTGTAAAGCTAAATGTTATGGGAACATAAATAAGAAAAAACACCTATGCAAAACAGTTTTGGTCATTATGTAAGCTCTGTGCCAGAATGGATAGAAAATAATATCATGTGAAATTCACCAAGGATCTCCTACAGGTATACACACCAAAGGGGTGTGTATACAAAAAACAAAAACAAAAATGCTAAATATTAGCATTTTATGCAAATCTGTCATATTTTCTATTATATTCAATTTGCATATCATTAATTTTATGTAAATGTATATCATAAATATCTAATAGTGTTCACAAATTGTTATGCTCAGTACAACATAAGCAATACAATGCATGTAACACTCCCATTCCTGCTGCACAATATTGGGAAGGCATTCAGAAATACCACTGAAGATATGCAACATTGATCTTTGTATTTGAGCTGATTATTTAAATTGGCCATTGGCAATTAATCAACTACAACTTGAGTTGATTCTGCTTTAGTTGTTTGGTCTATTGATTGAAGCTTGTTACTCACGTCACAAGCTGTATATGTGGCTTTCAAAGGTCTTACATTATTATAAGACTAGGACATCTTTTTTTCTACTGCAATTGTGGGAGAAAATAGGTTCTTAAATTATGTCCTATGTCTGCCTAAATATGTATATCTGCTTGTTAGACAGAAATGGTAAAAGGGATGGTGAACATATGTCAGTGACATATTTTTCCGTATTGAAAATTTCTATATTTAAGGTGACTCGCCAGGTAGTATTTCAGAGCAGAAGGAAAAGCTTAATATTCTGGCTTTGCTAAGCCCCATCAGCTTACTTTACTGATTATGTTATCCCGGCCTTTTTGTTAGATCTCTCTGGTTTATAGTAGGATCTCTCTCTAGCTTCCTGACTTGTAGAACTAAAGTTGCCCCTTCAATTAATTCAAGAATGCAGTGTAATCTGCATTTGCTAAATATCTCACTGAACATACGCAGAAGGAAGTGTGGATGCCACACTCACTCCTTCCGTGTAGGCATCTTGCACAGGGACTATTTCTTTCTTGTTTTACATTAATGAAGTCTTCACTCTTCCCACTGTTAACACCTACGCATGTACTGAACGTCTCCAAGGAGACAAGAAAACCCTTGAGTCCTGCAATGGTGAATCCTCCAATGAGGCAGCAAGCAAGAGGCAACTCCTTGAGGTATCTAAGCTTCCAGCTGTCCTCCTGCAGGCATTAATTTCCTTCTGGCTCCTACAGGCAGGCTTTCTCCTTTACATCTGAAATGTTGGTGAGTGCTTCAGGTTTCTCAGAGTGAGCTGGGTGGGGAAGCACTTCATGCATCTCTTTGTTCTTTCCCCCAGAATCTTTACATTGCCCAGCTACTTCTTCAACAATCCCCAATGTATTTCCAAGTCTACCACTGTCACTGCTGAGACCTGCTCAGTCGAGCCATTGCAGGTGTTTCACATGTTTCACATGGATGTTCCTTTTTTGCTATTATCTGACTTCACATTAGGCATAAAAGAGGGACCTTGAATTGTCAGATATACTGGATGCTGCATTCAGCTGCATCATGCTGCCAGGTGTAGTCAACCTTTTCGTAGGGCTTGGGCCTATTTTAATCTCTCTGCAGACATGCAACAGAAAATTGTAACATCTCTGTTAGTTTCTTCAAGTGATATTTCCTGTCAGAAAGCTTTTTCACACACAGTTAACAGAAAGTGTAACTTGTTATAGTATACAGCAGAGATGAATTGCTTGGAAAGCTTGCAAAAGAGATAGTGATGGAAGAAGAGTACACCATCGATAGTAGTTAGCTAGGATAACTACAAATAGACATGTCATACTCAGAGACATCATGCCTTTGAGTTGCAGTACTAAGGATAGTCATGAGGAGAAGGTGCAATTCTGTGCATGTTTAGCCAGAAAACAGTCCTGCAATTCCTAACATGCTTCAGCCCAGCATGGAGTTTGCTGGGAGGGGTGTGTGTGTGTGAGCGAGCGGGTGGGGGGAGGGTTGGTTCTGGTTACACATGTACAGGATTGTGCTTATATAAACTTTGGGTTGGAACCATAACAATACTTACTGCCTTATCATTTAATGCTCTAGCAATCTGGGGTTGGGCTTTGGCATTGAACAGTCTTCAATTCATTTTACTTTAATATGGAACTACATTAAAAGTGGCTTGAAATAACACGTCTATTAATATCAGTGATCCCTTGCAGGTGCTCCATAGTCATTGCCCATCTTCAGTGTAAAGCTTTACATTGGACTTAATCTTTCAGGCTAAAGGAGATCCTGGGCAGTATCCAGTGCTGTTCTAGTGCCTCTTCAGATTGCTAGCACTTCCTAGAACAATCCAGAGAAGTTCCCTTCTGCAAGTTAGAGTAACTTGTTCTGTTTTGAAAATGAGTAGTTCCATTTGTTCTGGTTGCATTGCAGAATGCCAGCTTTCCATTACACTGGTGGTAGGTCTCCCATGGGCAGAAATGGATACTGGTCCCTGTATTCAGATAATCATAGTATTCCTTAGTTTAGATATGTACTTGTCCTGATAATGAACAAAATACACAGGAGGGAAGAAGAATGTGAGACCGAATGAGCCTGAGGTCTGCTTCTTGTCTCCCTAGAGATAATCCTGGTAGAGAAAGTAATGGATGAACAGGATCATAGAATCAAAGAATAGTAGAGTTGGTGGGGACCAGAAGGTCATCAGGTCCAACCCCCTGTTCAGCGCAGAGCACTAAGTTAAACCGTCCCTCTCAAATGGCTGTCCAGTTGCATCTTGAATGCATCTACTGTGGGAGACTGTGGCGGAAGATCTCAGACAACTATTTTCACTCTTCTACTTGTAAGACAACTGCTCTTCTGCAGTGTGTGTCTTCATCAGGATGGAATAAAAAGAATTATTTTTACAAATACCTTTTCTTCTAGGGGATGTTGCTCTTGTGTACACTTTGAGAGGTCTTCAAGAAGAGGCTGGGACATGAGCTGTAGGCAGTTTGTTGGAATGTAAAACAGCCAACAAACCTTCTCACCAACAACAATCTTCATTTTGTTTACCCCTGCCTCAGAAGCTTCAATTTCTTACATCAATTACAAGGTGATATAAGGTCAAAGCACCTTATACAGATCTAGTGAAGTGATGCACTCTTTTGTGAAAGCTCTAGTCCAAAGAGGGGCAAAATAGTTAACATTATTAAAACAGTTTGTTAGCACAAAGAGTCCCCTAGGATCAGTTTGGCCATTTGTTGTATGCTGAGTAGTCGTCATTGCCATCTCAGCATTTGGTTTTTTATTTCCTACTGCTTGTATAACTGTTCTTGTGACACTCCTGTGATGCAATGACAATCATAGTTTATTGTCATAGTGTATTTCGAAATATTACTGATCAGGGAGGGCAGATGATTTTCCCTGTGGGTAGACCCCTTAGGGCTTAAATTTTTAATATGTGTGGGAGAACAAGTTATGAGCTGGGTAATATTTAGTGCCAACTTACCAGACTTTCTAGGAGTTTCTGTTGATCTATATCAGAATATAGGAATTCATCACAGGTGAGTATAACTTGGTAAGGATTTACATATAAAGAAATTCAATAATTAGTGTTAGCTTAATTTTATTTTCATCATGTTGTAAACTGACCAGAAAGCTTTGGCTATTGAGTGGTACAGAACTGTGAAGAATGAATGAATGAAATATTTATCTTGGGTTTTTTTCCTAGGCTCTTCAGGTAGCAAGGCAGCTTCTGTTACAGCAGCAGCAGCAGCAGCAGCAACAGCAACAACAGCAGCAGCAGCAGCAACAGCAGCAGCAGCAGCAACAGCAGCAAGTGAGTGGGCTAAAGTCTCCTAAGAGGAATGACAAACAGCCAGCACTTCAGGTGAGAAATCATAATAACAAAATTCTCGTTCTGTCTAGCGTTGCAACAAACTCCATGGAATCCATCCCTTTAGCACTGCAGATTTCCCCTCACGTTCAGCTTTTTTCTTAGAAAGCAGGACGAGCTGAGAGGAAATCTGGAAATGCTTGCAGAACTAAGGTTGCGCAGCCAACAACCTTCTTCCAGTGTCATGTGCAGCACAAAGCAGGGCTACCGGATGTGGCATGGAAGAGGGACACTGTACTGTGTTCACACAGTGTTTGAATCTAAACACTGAGCATGCTTGCTAGGAAATTATACTCAACAAAAAGGGCTGAAGGCCAGGAAGCTGAGTGCAGGGTATCTGACAGATTCTCACCCCCAAATAGTTCCTCACACGTTCCGATTTGTGTCTTGGTTTGAGTTCACGAGATTAATTGCCAAGGAAGCATGTAAGGTAAGGGAAAAGTTTTTAAAGAACACTCATCATTGCTGCTTTTGATGTCAGTGGCTTGGTAGCATGGTACCATCAAAGATATCGACACTGCAATTCTGCAATTTTCAAAATAACTTGAGCAAGTATGTGGAAAGGGATTGTAGCACTGTATCTTTCATTTGCAGAAGATTCTAGGTTTTGTTTCTGACATCTCCAAATCAGGTTGAAGAATCAGTCTAGAAAATAAGGAATTAAATGAACTTAACATAAAGCAGCTTTCTATGTTGGAGATCATGATCTTACATGTGAGGAAGGGCAGTTTCTAGAATGAAGTGCATCCAACAAGCACCTTGAATTTTTGATATTTGAAAAATGGACATTCTTTGTGCTGTTTTTAAAGTCATCTAGAAGAGTATGTACAATCCTCTGAAATAAAGGGCATGTGACACTCCTAAGTTAGAGTTAGTAAAACTGATCCTGTTTAAAAACAGCAAGGATTAATGGAATTGAATTATCTGTTAATGGTTTTGAAAGAATTAATGTTTTAAACATTTCAGTGAGGTTTGAACATTTTGCTGAATAGACAGTTGTTTTTCCCAAAACCAGTTACTACTTCTGTCAAAAACCCCATGTTTGAGATTCCCCATATTTGCTTGACCAGCCTTTGCAAGAGTATAGCTTTCTTCTTTCATCCTGCATCATTATATATTAAGTCAAGGTAAATTGTTTCAGAAGAGATAGATGTATCATCTGCTGATTTGGTTTACATTTCGAAGTAAAGATCATTAAATCATACAACCATGATATTAGAAATTTGCTTAGTTGATCTAATTTGTTTTGGTACTTGTGAAGGATTGTTGATTATATTTGTATGAAAAGCGTTAGGTACATCCAGTGACTATAGAAATTCCAGTAGTTTAATTATCATTTCATGCACGGTCTGTGAGAAAGTTGCCTAAAAATGAAGTGATATTGGATTGGATTCTAAGATACCTGAACAGAAGACAGTTCATAGAAGGATGATTTCCCATCTCTTCCTCTCTTGCTAACCACCTGAGCCTCCCCCAAAGGCTTATGCAGGCTCTCTGAACAAGGTGGAATGGAACCCAGTGGGCTACTGGAGGGACACAGAAAATTGCACCAAATCAGGTTGAAGTTTACCCAACATTGAGCAGTTTCTGTATTGTAGCCTTTTGCTTTTCACCTTCATGGTTTTCCTGACACTTTTCCCACATTTGGAGAAATTGTTTTGGAGGAGGAGGGACAGAGGAAATTGCCCTTACATGAACTTACTTTCTGTATCTTATTTTTAGGATTCTAATAATGTTCAGAAGGCATGATTTGCTTGTAATAATGCTTTCCTTGTAAGTTCTTTTAAAATGGTATTCAACATGCATGTCCAGTATACATTGTTTTCCAAATTTAATGGACTATGTACAAGTTAGGTTGTTATCTGGTGATCACAGAATAGATGGTTAGAACTCACTTGATCACACTCAACCATGTGGTATTCCACCTTTCTTTTTTTAATAAATTGACATTCTTCATAAGGAATAAACTGTTTTGTCCCTAGACAAATGTGCATTTAAAGGCACTGTTGTGAAAGAACTGGATATTAAATCCATGCTGTTTTGCTCTGTACACACACAGACAATTTTGGTCAATCCATAGCAGATCAATTTGCCTTTTAATAGACTCTTCTACTGGGGACATTTTTAATGAGATATTGTGCTGGCAAGGCCCAGTGTCAGGTACTAGAAGAAATGCTTTGTTGTGCAGATGTCTTAAGAATTGCTCCAGAGGATGAAATATGACTGTGTTGACCTTTCAGCTGTGAGCTTATTTGTCAGGATTCAAATAAGTTGAAAGGATCAAACTAAACAGTTTCCGTAGTCCGACTGGGAATTGTGTTTCAGAGGTCAACAGTGAGGGCCACATCGCAGATTCCATAACATAGCCAATTGTTGGTACATATTAAAGTGTTGGAGCTGCTTCTGCAGTCAGAGACACAATTAAAATTCTAATTTATTAATGTATACAGAGAGCTGGTCCAGCCTGTCACTCACTGATTCAAATGACTGCCCATTCTTTTTCCACCCTTGCTCCTTGAGCTTTTGCATCCTTAAACCTACTTCTGAATATAACAGACACGGTGAGCCCACCGGCACAATAAAGATGTATATTTTAAAAGGGCTGGAGTATGGAAAAGAAATGGTTAGGAAAAATATACAAAGATACACAGATCCTTTTTCATTTTACTTGACAGAGTTAAGTATTGAATGTAACTGTTTGTATTATTTTGTTAACTGTAAGTCATCATATGTAATCTAAAATTAGCTTTTTTATTGTTCCTGCTCTAAACCATCTTGGATTCAGCAGAGGAACAAAGTTCCTATCCTTTTTAAAAGGAATCTGCTATGTTAACTGGGTTTAAACGTATCCATTAATAAAGTTTTCTGACAGTGTTCTTCAAAAAATTACATGAGGAATACTTTTTACTAGTTCAGGTGTTTTAAGGGTTATATTATGTGTTTAGGCCTTTATATGAATGTTTAGGTTATACTCACACGCTCGCTCGCTCGCTCGCTCGCTCTCACTCTTTTTCTGTCTCTGCTTTCAAGATAGTGAATCCATAAAAAAAGCACAGTTGCTTGTAAAGGAGAGGAAAGGCAGAATATTGTTTTAGAACGATATGGCATATAAACTATTATGTTGGACTAAACAGGTAAAAACTAAGAAGGATATTTTGATAATTTCTTACATTCCTAGCAACTTACCAGTGACATAGACTAAGCACTACGTGGATCAGTGCTAGTTGCTCTGTGACATCATATGTCCATTGACCTTGACACAATTATAATCCAGTTTAATGTCTTCCAGTAGAAGATCCTTTATTTCTCCCTTGACCTTGACAGCTATTGTTGGAGACACATTCTAACATATTTCATATGTTTTCTGTATAAGCATTTTGTCTGAGATGCAGTCTGTTGCTAGGGTTTCTTTTTAAATAAATATCCAAATACAAATGCCATGACTCACATTTTAAACATAACAAGTATACAACTTTGTCTTTGATTCAATAGGAACGTGTGGCTTCACAATACAAATGAAAGAAAATTAAAAGTTTCAAGAACTGATTTTAATCACCAAAACTTAGAATGCCAAAAATACAATGAGTAAAGAATAAAGATTAATAGTTTGTGCAAATATCTAAGTCTTATTTAAATAAAGAATTTTTAAATAAATAAATACTCAGATTTAATCATTAAGTTTTTCTGTTGGAGCATTTTAGCTGTCAGGATATGTTTATAAATTGGAAAAATGTATACATGATACATATTTTTGCTCAAGAAGATGACACTATATGTGTATTTTGGCAGCATTAAAGTTTTGCTTTAGAATGTATCCTAGAATCAAATGATAGTTGCATATCATGGTCGACAATATTTTTATAAATTCTGAAGATACTTGGTTTGTAAGACTTACAGTGTAATCCAGTGCAACTTCACTCAGAAGTATACAGCACTCTATTTAATGGACTCGACTCTGAAGTAAATCTGCATAAGATTACATGGCATTTCTTGTTCAGTATTAGCTGATCTGTGAGGATGGGAGGACAGTAGTAACATGTACCCCAAACAGATACTAAAATTATCATCAAAATTCTGTGATTACTAAGTTGGATAGAACAATGCACTTATGCCAGACTTTATTAATTCATTTGGGAATAGTTATATACCAATGCCCATTTCAAAAATCTCAAAGCAGATCACAACATATAACATAAGAAGGCATCATTAAGGTTACAGTCCATTGAGAATGCCTATAACCTCTCAACTTGGAGAATTGCAGGTATCTTATGGAGTGTGGGAGGACAGAGGAAAAGGTTCCTTCTGTTTTCCTTCAACCTGCAGAATAACAGGGAAGCCAGTTTCAGCTATCTGCCTATAATATGTTGGTAGAGAAAGGAAGAAGCTGGAGGCCCTGCCAGGACACATTGTATCCTGGTGCCACCTCTCTCTTGCCCTCCCACTAACACCCACTAAAGTCTTTCCCGAGGTCACATTAGTTCCTTGCATAGCGGCTGGCTTAGTTCTTTCTATACCACCCGCAAACAGATGGAGAGCTTTCAGAGAGTGAGTGCTCCCTAAGTGCTGCCAAGGGCTGTAGGACTGTGCTGTAAAAGCGTAACAGAATTTAGGTAAGTTAATGATTGGGAAACAAGTAAACAGGTCTATTATCCTAAAGCTAGGTACAGTAGCATACATATTACTTGTTCATTGACTGGGGGTGTATTAAAAGGTAGCATCCACTCTGGCTCACTTTATACTTCTGTTGCACTCCTGTGCCCACTTACCTGGAAGTCAATCCTGTTGAACTCAGTGCAATTTTACTGCTGAACGATTGTGTTGTAAAACAATCAATAAAATTAGCTCTACCATGAGCCTAACAACCTGAAATACAAGACTGAAAAGGGAAGGAATGTGGAAAGAAATACGAGGTTAGTTCTTCAAGTTCAGGAAGAAGTAAGAACTTGTAAGCATTTTAATCTATTGCTACCTGCCTTTACTGGTGTTTTAGCTTG